CCTTAGATGGCTGATGCTGAGAGATCAATCCTATCCCGGCCGATGAACTTGTCGAATCGTTCTTAATTTCTGAAGATTCAGCCTTTTCTTCCTGCTTGGCTGACTCAACATCCCTGTTCATTGTTGGTTCTATCCTTGCTTCAAACACAGAAGGCAAAACAAATACCATGTTACAATTTACCTTATCCGGGAGAGAACCAAAACGAATTCTGTACTTGGCCGCATGCTTTGGATCCTGGTCGGGCTGATCATCTTTTTCTTCATAAAAGCATGCCTTATTCTCAAATGATGTAGCGACCTCCATATCTTCAGCCACCACTGGTTCATTTTTCCTTTCTAGTTGATCATGGTCGATCTTGTCTTCTTTCCTTTTGAGTTCTGCATTTTTCCTTTGCATCCTCCTTTTTTGGGTACGTGTAGGAGGCTGCTTAGGAAACTTTGGGTGACTTACTCGAGTCCATCTGCCATGGTCAACCAAAGGAGGTCTAACCGTTCTTACACGGCTAGATTCTTCTCCTTTTTGAACCCATATTTCTAACTGAATTGTTGGTTTCCTTTTGAAACTAGGATAAAAATGTTGTTCTGGCAGGACTCTATCGGCCACCGATGACCGAATGATTCTCACTGCCCTCGGCCCATTTTCTCTAAATATTGATCGATTGATTTCTTCGTGATTCTGTCTAGGCTGATGGCCTAACCTTTCATGGACACTGCGCTTTCTGGTCGATTGGAAATAGCCCCTCTTGTCTGAGTCATTCCTTCGGCCTTTGCAATTTGGACAACAACCATGGTTGATGAGGGCAATTTGAGCTTCTCTTAACTGAATTTCCAAGTCCTTAACTTTCTGCTCATCATTACTGGCTGATGAACTACCAAGAACTTTTGGTAATCTTTCCTGTCTACCATTATCAGCGGCTTTTTCAGTTGCCAGGCTGATTACATTGGTACTGACAATATTAGGAAATGGATCGCCATCGACCCCCATTACATCTGGCTTCTTTTCAGGGAATTTCAATACACCTTCATCGATAGATTTCTGCAATACATTTCTAAATACATAACAATTGTTAGTAGTATGATTCCATGAATTATGAAATTTGCAGAACTCTCTTCCTTTTAAATCATTGGTCGATGGTATATTGTGTCCTTTTGGCAAAACGATTTGTTTGTCGGCCAACAAATGATCAAAAATTTGTTCTGTTTTGGCCAGATCAAACGTATAAACCTTACCAGTATCAGCCGTACCCTTCCTGGCCGATGAAGTCGATGGCTGAGTACCACTGGTGGATACATTTGGTTTTGTTAAAGCATCACATACATAAGGCTTCTTTAGAATGACTTCAGCTAAATTAGCTTCAAAATCTTCCTCTTCAACCACATCAGTTGAATAAACTTCATAATTGGGGTCCCTATAGTACGTACCTTTAGAGGAATTTTTTCGTTCTTTTTCCTCTTTGAGAACCAACTCATACCTGGTAGCTTTCTCGGCCAGGTCATACATGTCACGAAATGGAACTCCTTCAAACCTCTTCCGAAGTTCAAAATCAAGGCCGTTCAAAGCCAAACGGATGTACTCCTGTTCTGGAAGAGGTACACGACATCTTAATCTTGCTCTCCTGAATCTTGCAATGAATGTCTCGACCGATTCACTAGGCAATTGACTTAGCCTGGATAAATCGGCCAGAGTAGGTTCTGTCTCCGTACGGTAGAACTGATTGTGGAATAATTCCTCCATCTGTGGCCAATTAAAAATAGAGTTAGGAGGTAGACGAATATACCATGAAAAAGCTGCCCCGTCAAAGAGTTAGGAAAAAGTCTCAATTTCAACCACGGGCTAACACTGGCCTCTCCACATTGAACCGTGAATCTGCCAATGTGTTCCACGGTCGATTGATTCCCCTCTCCACTAAAGGTTACAAAGTCAGGGACTTTATATCCTCTAGGGAACTCAACTTGGTCTACCACTTCTGGATAAGGAGTTCTATAAATTGGTCGGCCGGCACCTCTAAGTTCCAGGCCATATTCTTCTGTGAGTAAATCAGCTAATTGTCTTCTATCTAACATGACTTGAGGTGGCTGATTTAATATTGGTGGTACCTGATTAAAAACTGGCGGCTGATTAGCCGCTGGTTGATAGCAATTCGGCCAATCATGTGGCTGATTAGCCATATTCTGCCCCCCGAGCCCTACCTGTGGCGGTACATGAGTATACAGTGGGTTCGGTGGCCTCCACCTGATCTGATTGCCCCCCGAGTTCAAAGGCATCCGAGGAGGGTTTGGTAGAATTACCTGTGGCTGCGAACCTACTACTGGTGGCTGATTAGAACCTGCCAACGTAGGCTGAGGATAGCTTTCTGCCCAGGTGAGTAGCGTATGAACCGGCTGACTTGATGTTGCACCTGGTTGGAGTGTCACTACTGGCGGCCATGGCTGTGATGTTTCAACGGCCCTCTCTGGCCGAGCAGCTTGTGATAGATTCGGCTGAGAAGCCGATTCCTGATTGTTGGAGCTGCTAGCTTGAGTCGGCTTGTTCAAAATAAAGGCTGAGAGTTGGGACATATTTTCATGCAAGTCATTGTAGCGTGCTCCCATCCTTCCCATTGCATCTACCAAGGAGCTAACCTGTGCCTGAAGTACGGCTAACTCATCAGTAGGACCTGTTGCAGAGTTCTCAGCCTGTACTAGCTGATCGCCTTCCTCCAAATCTTCATCAGTAGCCACGGCCTTAGAATTTTTTGTGGGCCGCGGCATATTTGCCTCTTTTATAATACTCTAGTAGTGGTCCCACCGGGCGTGCCAAAACGTGTTCGCGCGGTTTTTGTTCCCTACGCCGGTCGATGGACTCTTCGCGGGCATGCCAGAGTATTTGTACAAAATACCCAAAATATGTAATTAAACACCAGCCTATCCCTTTTTCCGATGGCTGACTCTCAGGCGATTGTGTGGGAGAGAGACTAGTAAGAACTCCCAGCAAGGTTCTTTTATGCCTTGTTTGTAGCAAGGACTTTTTAGAGTGTCTAAAGAAATGCAACGGCTGATTAATGTTTGAATGGATGGAATGGCCGAGTGAAGACAGGCGGCAAGAACTTAATCGATCGCCGGCCGAACGTGATGGCGAGAACTTAATCAATCGCCATCAGCCAAACACAATGGCAAGAATTTAATCGATCGCCACTGAAACGTGATAGCAAGAATTTAATCAATTGCCATCAGCCAAGTAATGACAACAATTCAATCAATTGTCACTACGATTTAATGGCAAGAATTTAATCAATTGCCATTGAATTGAAAGCCTAACTAAAATTGCGTAATTAAAATTGGCATAATTGAAATTGAAAGAAAGTAAATGGCTGAATCGAAATAGTTGACAATGATCTAATCAATTGCCATTAAATTGAAATAAAGAAATTGATAGGAAAATGACGTAGAGTCAATTGAAAACATTTTTAGTTGGAATGCATGTTTTGTGGTGGTGCTGGACAAATTGGAATAGGATTACAACTTTCCTATTTATAAAATTCTTTCTCAACTTATTTTCCTAACTTTTTGCTAGAAAATCTCTCATTCCTTGATTTTCTTCTCTTCGTGAATCAAACTAAGTCAAAACTCAATATACTTCTCCTTATCTTCATGGCTTGCCTTAGTAGGAAATCCTTGCTGAAACCAACTTCCTTGATTTAGTCACATGTAAGTTGCCAGAACATTGTTAAAATGTTGCTAATTTTTAGCAACTCCTTTCCATAAGCTCGGCTGACATATTTTCCTTAAATGGCCTAATAGCCATTTACAGCTTTTGAATTTATCTATAACTCCTGTGACTGCTCCTCCTTTTTTGGAATCCCTTCTCCAATTAAACCCCTATTTCATAAGGATTTCTTTTTAGCTAAATCTCTAGTTTCCAGTTTAAACAACATATTTGAATTAATTCAAATATTAGTTACCAAATTTCAGCAACAACCTTATTGGATAAGGTGGCTAAATTCCTAGATTTTCTCCTCTTGTTTCTCAATTGGCCGACTTTTCTTGAAATCATACTAAACAAGTGTCGGCCCATCGCTGGTCCACGTCACCGCTGAGGTGGCTGCCAAGTTTTGGTGCCAACACTTTCCTAATAGATACTCTCTTTTTTTGTGTGTGGCCCTCATTCAGTGAATTTTGAGGGTTTCTGGCATAGAACGAGTTTCCCTAGAATCAAATGCTTTCTTTGGCAAACTTAATGTCAGACTATTAAATATTGCCTTGAGATGTAGTAAAAATTTTAGTCTAGCTTGCTCTTGCTCTGGATTTTCTGATGCTTCAGAGGATCCTTTCACATTCCTAGAGTTTGTAGTTATGCTAGATTTGATTTTGGTAGTCTTGTATCAATAGTATATCTAACTTAACCTTGTATTTACAACCCTCTTCCAACTGGATGTTTGTTGAGATTCTTAACCCAAATACAAGACCCTTGTGAATTCGGACAGGCCCATTGCTTTCTTTCCCATCATCTGGCACATTTAGGCTAGGCGCAATAAAACCTAGTTCAGGCCATACCTCTTTCTTCCATCAGCCATGTGATCTTTGCCTTGTTTCTAGCATTTCTTTGGATATCCCAGGTCCACCAACGGTTGCGGCTTTGTAAGAATTAATCATAATAGCTGGGTGTTGGATTTTGCAGCCAATCTTGGGCAGAGCTTGGGCCTTCAAACCAGGCTTTAAGGAATTCGACTAGGTATATTTCTTGCTTGCAGTAAGTGTTCTGGAAAATTCTTCATTGAAAGCCAAATGGCTATCCTAATCAGCCCACTAAGTGACTTTGAGATGGAACCTAATGGAAAAGCATGGAGCTCACTTTTTTATTAGTTGTACCTGAGTGAGGCTTGTAACGAGTTACTAAGGAATAACTAGGATGCTCATATTACTCATGGCTATCAATGTCTTCTATTAGTAGTAACAGATGTATTTCTTGTAATCTTTGTTTTATTGACATGATTGTAATATGGTTTTGATTTGATCATCAGAATGACCACTGCCACATTTCATCAAACCATTGGAACCAATCAAATCTATGGATCGTTCAACGATTCTGGTTCTCGCACTGGATTTAGAATTTTCTCTATGATGTCTCTTTCAAATACCTTACGGATCCATCCTGGATTATTGAGAAAAAGAACTCTCAGCTCAAGCCAGTGTAAGTCATGTATAATTGAAGCATCAAAATTTCATTTGTCAGTGGTAGATCCAATGTTATCCTCGTCACACAGCACCACGGATGATTCATGGAAGACTTCAAGTGAGTACAATTTCTTGATTCACATCAAAAACCATTTTATAATCTCTTTTGTTGAACTATGGATGCACAATGCATGACTTTTTGTCTTGATCTTATTTCTCTTGGCTTTGCAATTATAAACGTTGTTAAACAGCTTACTTTGGTTCAGATGAATCTGCTTTAATCTTGATTCGACACGGTGAGTCGATGTGGAATGAGAAGAACTTGTTCACTGGATGTGTTGATGTGCCGTTGACCAAAAATGGCATTGATGAAGCAATTGAAGCTGGTAAAAGAATTAGCAACATACCTGTTGACGTTATCTACACATCTGCACTGATTCGTGCTCAGATGACCGTTATGCTTGCCCTGACCCAACACCGATGCAAGAAGGTATTTCTTTCAAAGTGTTTGAGAATTTACATTTGCAAGATTCAATTCTAGTCACTTCAAAACATTGATTGAAATAGATCCTTAGACTATTCTCCAAGATAGTTAGGCTTGCTTGCATAATATGCACGAGAAATGGGTTGACATGGTGTTATATAAATACAATTTTATGGTTTACTTTTCCTAATTTCACTTCTTTCATCTTGTACATTCATTTTAGAGGATTACTTATAAAAATAAATAAATAAATAAACATTTTGTGGAATTACTGTATTTATCCGCCCTTCTATTCTAATATGTTTATCTACCATGTGAAGGTTTCTAAATGATTTTTTAATTTAATATTCACAGAAGTCTTCTGGGAGTATACTGCATCTTTCTAATGTCACTAAAGATGCCAAATCTTCCTTCCTTCTTCTTCTTTATTTTTTTTATTTTTATTATTTTTTTTTTGGGTTAATATCTACAAGGGTTGATAAATCATAAATCGGATGAGGTGTTTGTCAAACAATGCATGCATATCTTTTCAAAGTTCAAGTCATAAATTGGAATATTCAGATCTTAATTATATGGTTGGTTGGTGAAGACCTTAAATTTACTCCCCCAACAAAAAAATTAAAATAAAATAAAACCTAAGTATGAGTTTCGGGGATATAAAAAGTTGGTTGCGGTTATTAGGTATGTAAATTAGTGCTAGAATATGGAAAAGAAGAAACTAATATTAGAATCTTACTGTAGCCTCTTTGGAGTATCACCTACAAGTAGGTTTGCAAATGAACCAAGTGGAGCTTCAGGTTATTTGAACTCCACTCACCAAAACAGGATAAGTGTTCAGGCTCAGTTTGTGTTAGGAGAAGCCTGACCTAGCCGAGATTGGGCTCGACGGGTAGTCTTACTTTTAGGCAAGTTCGGGATCGGGTCGGCTCTACTAAGCTCATTTACAAAATGGTGCAAGAGATCAACGCCAAACCCCTTTGTCGACTTCCATTCTTCACCATCAATATCCATACTCCACCCTCACATGGCTAAATGAAGCTCGTGATTCAAACATCCATTGACGCTATGAGGGAAATTAGAGAAGGTGAGAAGATGAGAAAAAAAATCAGAAATAAACTGAGTGCTAACATTGACAAATGAGAGAAAAGGATGAGGGAGAAGGAGATATAGAGAAAGGGAGCAAAAACGGTCGCCTTTGGAGAGGATTGGTTGGCGTGATGCTTGCAATGGAGGGGCGTGGCTTAGTTTGTGGTGTTTTGATGGTGATGGAGAAAAAGACACAGCTAGGATTTTTATATTGTTTAAGTATAAGATCTTGTGTGTACAGACAGAATCCAACATCTGGAATAACTTGTACGTATTACTAATAGTTGGGCTGATGGGCAAATAAGTGAATGGGGCTTTCTTTGTGGAATGAACTTATAAAATTCACAGAGTTGGGCTTTATTTATAAAGATGATTTGAATTTAAGCCAAACATTATTCATATAGGCAACACCTTTTAAATAATAAGAATTAAATCTAATAAGGGCTTTAGAATATGAGCTTCTTCACGAGTAGGGATGGAAGCGGGGCAGGCTTGGGACGGGTTTACCTAAACCCTACTCTGCCCCATCCTTACAGCACAAGTGGAGCTCATAGGCCATCCCCGCCCCCATAGCAACACTAAACATATAAAATCATGAACAAGAGTGTAAGAGGAAATTAGATTTTTCACAGAGAAATCTATACATAAAGAGACCTAGATATATATATATATATATAGATATATATAGATAGAGTAGATGTAAAATTAAATAAAAATACAAATGTAGATAGATAAAGCCAGAGTGAATAGATCGGAATCACAGCATATATATATATATATATATATATATATAGAGAGAGAGAGAGAGAGAGAGAGAGAGAGAGAGAGAGGGAGAACTTCTTGTCGTTGGGAGCTACCAGCAGAGAAAATGAGGAGTCACTTGCCCGTAGTGGAGAGATGCCGTTGGGTCAGCTGAGTGAGAAGGCATCTAAACTTTAATGAATAAGAAAACACACACACACACACACACACACATATGGTAGGCAAGGGTAGTTAAGGAATAGGAAAAAATATTAAGGGTATTGTAGTCATTTTACTATATAAATGGGGGCAGGGCAGGGCGGGCGGAAAACTTTTTTTTTTTTTTTTTTTTTCCAAATCCGCCTTGAATCCGGGTCCAATTAATGACGCCTATGGCAGTAACCATCTCATCTGTAGGTTACAGATTGACTCTTCTTTTTCTCTCCTTTCCTGAGCATACAAAGGGTTGATCTTTGCCATTGCTGCGACAACGAAATTCATTTAGCAAATAATTATTCTTGCACAATTTTGCCAATTTGGTAACTGATGACTAGAATCATCAGGATGATTTAATCTGAACTTTTGAACCCAGAAGATCAGCCGATAGAGATTAGGGCATGATAACAAGTGTCACGTGTGCATCACATAGTGGACAGATATCAGTTGAATGGTCTTTATTTCTTTTTTTATTAGAAGAATTCTTCTTCATTACAAGGGATCTATTGTTTAGTTTGCTGTTTATCTTTCCAAACTTTATTAAAAAGACCGCCTTTATACTGGCATTTTACCCTTAAATCTTTCAGGTGCCAATAATTATGCATAATGAGAATGAACAGGCCAACTCATGGAGTCAAATTTATAGTGAATCGATCAAGAAACAATCCATTCCAGTTGTAACAGCTTGGCAATTGAATGAAAGAATGTAATTTCATGTCTATCTTTTGCTTGTTCTCCCAGTTAGACTTTATACTCCCTTTAAAGTTTATGACATGATAGAATATAAGATGCTGTTCTTTACAGGTATGGGGAGTTGCAGGGCCTTAATAAGCAGGAGATGGCTGAAATGTGTGGAAAGGAGCAAGTCCATAAGTGGCGTAGAAGTTATGATGTTTCTCCCCCTGGTGGGGAGAGCTTGGAAATTTGCTATCAAAGAGCTGTTGCTTATTTCAGAGAGCATGTAAGGATGGCTATATGCATCCTTTGTAATATCCTAGATTGGAATGCTGTAATTTATAGTCAGATATTGGTCAGTGAGTTTTAAAAGCATCTTTAGGATAATGTCACTTTTAAGCTTTTAATACTGAGAAGGATTATACTACAGATTGAGCCCCAACTTTCGTCTGGAAAGCATGTGATGGTCGTTGCCCATGCTAATTCACTGAGGTCTATTATAGTGTATCTTGACAAATTAACTTCTCAGGAGGTAACATGCCATACTTCTTAGTGAGGGGTTACTGCTTATTCAAATCTTTCTGCTGGTTTAATTCATGTTTCCACCATGTCTTTCTGACCAGGTTATCAACCTAGAACTATCAACTGGAATACCAATGCTTTACATGTATAAAGAAGGGGAATTCATCAGACGGGGAAGTCCCCCAGGATCTAAAGAGGCTGGTGTTTATGCTTATTGTAGGGTATGAAATTTCAGCTCCATATTTTAACTGATCTTATTTATTATCATTGTAGAATATCAGTCACTTTTTGAAATCTTTGGATTATAAAAATGTCTGAATACCTTCAGATGCATCAAAATGAAAGGAAGGAGAGTTCCTTGACACAAGGTTTTGTTCTGGTCTACAATAAATTATTAATACACTGTCTTTTAGGTTTTCATTAAATGGGTTGTATTGGTTTGAAAGTGCTTATGCAAGCATAAAATGCAAACTTTTTCTATGGAGTAGTATAAGAATGAGCTCTTGTGATTTCATAACACCAAAATGAGATGAGTAACATAACTTTGCTTTCCTTTTCAATTCTTTCAGTTCAACAGTGAAAGGTAGCATGGCCTGAGCTGAAATTGTTGAAAATAATAAGCATCTTTGGGCAACTTAAAACTCAACTCAATAATTGTTTGTCCCAACTGTTTAGGTTTTACTATATGACTCATGTTTTTTATTCTGTTTTACAAAAAGGATTTAACCTCAGTTAAACACACACTATTATAATTCTTTATCATCTCAACTGATGTTAATTTTTGAATTCTCCTTCTATCATTATCAATATGAAAAGCGACACTCTTCCATCAAACTTAATGTACAACAACCCAATCCCTTTATTATTGTATGCAAGGTGTTGCTTCTCATTTTCATAATATTAATGCATAAAAATATCGTCGTTGTTCTAAGGAATACTAGTTGGTAGAAGCCGTTGTCTGTTAGCTATGAGGTAGTTTAGAGCACATTAGGGTGGCAGTAATGACAATCTACCAACGTAGTGCTTTGATGAACCGACTGTTTTGATCCACTTCAAATGAACTCTCCCAATGTTCCATTTAGAAAAAGCTTTGCTCCAAGTTGATCGATAATATAACTCATAAATAATAATAATAATAATAATAATAACCTTTGCTACATGGACTCTACTATTTTCTTCACGTACCCGTGTCGACACAACATGACATGGGTAGGCTACTGGATATACGTCCGACACACGAACCCAAGTCGGAAACTCGGATCCTTCACATAGGAACCATTTTCTTTCGAATATCCCATTTAATTTGAAATCAACAACATTAAATATTACACTATAATAAAACATGTATCATTCACTTAACCGAGTCTAAGATTTGGAATTTGATGAAGTTCGACACTTGGACACATTATTTCTCGCACCTGATACACTTAACCGAGTCCAGGTAGCATAGATAATAGCAGTACAACAACAATAATAACAACTCTAGTGAGTATAGAGTTTTGTATAAACAGATCGGCTTTAATAAGAGGAAGCATTGAATCTATTATCTTACATTTCATGTCCAGTACTTGACCTTTGTAACACAGTTGGAAGTTCGCATCCTCTTTGAGCAGCTGGATCCCTACTTTTACTGTTAAATATTAATCTATTTTGGTACATACCTTTTTTTATCATCTGAGATAGAAAATATTGACATCTAGTTTGCTTGCTCAATTTTCTTGTACAGAGTTTGGCCCTTTACAGACAAAAGTTGGATGAAATGTCCTATTGAATAATTGAGGAAGAGGTAAGGTCCATTGTTGTTGTGGTTGTTTACTAGTAGTAGTTGCTACATGTACACCCTTGCTTATCAATGACGATATAATTCTTAGTAATTTGAGTGGGTAAATACAATTTTATAATTGATTTTTTGTAAAATTTGAATTTATGCATAATAAAAATTTGTCATACTCTTGGTGAAATAAAATCATTGTTTATATCTAAATGTGATCAGGTTCCCCTCAATCTGCTCACACATGCTTCATCTTAATTGGTAGGAAATTCCTCGCAATATATCATTACAGCTCTCCATTGGTGAGCAGCTTTATGCTCTTTTGTGAATTGATTTCTTTGTTTACTTTTTGGTCTGGTTCCATGCATACTTAAAATGTCAACCAATTTTGAGTTCATAATATTATAGCTGATAGTCGCAAATTATAATTGAATTTTTTGATGTCTAATCAAAGTACCAGTGGGTCTACTAGTTAAGATCCAGCTGCTGTAAATCATGATTAATGCTCCTGTTGGAATACCAGTTGGGAAGCAGATTGCGCTCATGCCCTTTGCATATTTGGCTTTTCATTGAACGTTAGACATGTTCTCGTTATAAGGGTATGCCCCATTATTGCTCGTCTTTCACCTTGTGGATGATTGGATGGTTGGACAAAATAATAAAATTCCTAAAATTTACCAAGAGTGAAGAATAGATCAAACTTGACCATCTCACTACAAAGTATGCAAGCAACCATCAGTCTACAACAGCTTAATAAAATCTGCTAAAATATTATTAATGAACTATGCTCTGGGACATACATACGACCATTTCGTCCATCATGAAAAATATCATATATAGACTACCCAATGTGTTGAGATGTTTGAATAATATATTTACGTACCCACATCTATGGACATAAACGTTTATATTTAGTTTATGCTTATATGCAGACGAAGAAGATTCAAGACCTGACAAGGCACTTCAGACCCGAGAATTTCTAAAATTAGGCATTCTCACGCTTCCGTTTCTGCCCCTATTTTGTATCTTGGTCGTAGTACGACCATGTCGGACACGCGGCACGCCATACTTTGGACACATGTATGGAATATGTATCCGATGCTTTTAATTGGACAGGTACCTAAAAAGCATATCCAATGATTCAATTTTATTATATTATTGCTTCAAAACGAGTAAAATGCCTATATCAAACACTATGTAACATAAAGAAACTATTTTACCCAATAAAATTGAATCAAAATATTAAGATAATATAAATATTTAGTAGTACTCCTATAGGGATTTGACATCTCTGACGCTTGGATACACATACCTGACAAACAATACTCGAATCTAGGTAACATAGCTCAACTCTATACCCAAAATAGATCCATGGGAAGGGTAAATAGAGGTTATCTGATATTTAGCAGACAATAACTGATGATAAATTTAACAATAATGATTGAATGCATCAATATATATTGTTTAAAGTATATAGAGCAAAAAATAAAATAACCAAGCGGTCACACAATGATTTAAGTGAAAACCTCAATGGAAAAAATCACGAGAACTAGTACAAGCAGATCAAATCCATTGTACGAAGAAAGGTAATACTATCATTACATTCTAAACCCCCATAGAATCACTCAAATTACCCAAATCTAGTCTTACACTTGCATCTGCTGTAGTTAATCAGTGAATCTGCTCTACACGATTCACTCTTCTCCTTGTGATTGGTCTCCTTGGTTGGCTAGTCATTCTATCTTCAGTCCTTAGTTATAATGATTTAGGTTTGATGATCAACACCATGAATTATTACTCGTTATCTAAGCAAGGTGCTTTTAAACTCTCTGTATGCGTATCTATTCTCCCTCTCTGCTTATACTTTTTTTCTTTCTTCACAATCTTCCCTCCTCTTAAATGGACCACGTCTTGAAATTGTTTTTTTTTTTTTTTTTTTTTTTTTTTTCGGGTAAATATATGCCTTGAAATTGTTATTCTTGCTTTGGAATGAAGCCCTTTAATTTTTTTCTCTTCATTTTTTTTTTCTTCTTTTTCTTTTTCTGTATTAAAGGTATGATACTTACTTTTAATCATGTTATGGCGATGAAACCTATAGCTTTGACATTGGGGTCGGATTACAACCACAGAGACAGTTTGTGTAGAAGAGAGTTGTGTCTAGAAATTGGAAGAAGAGGTGGCTAGCTGTATATTTGACAATTTGTTACGTCTTATGTCAGCTAAATTGTTCATCACAAGTGGAAAACATAGTAGTCCTTTAATCATGCTGTATGGAGCTGAAATTTTCTTGGGAAAAGTTCTGAAACTTATTTTTCTCTCTCCTACTTTTTATGGATAAAGTTTTGAATAATTAAACATTAAAAGAACAAGATAATTAACGAAAAGTGTGAAAGTTCAATGGGAATTATGGAAGAGATGTATGGATCATAATTAGAAAATAGGATATACTGTTTACAAGGACTCGAGAACTATTTGAGTTCGGTTACATAAATCATGTTTGCCAGTCTTTTTATTAGAGTTCAATTTTAGTAAAATCACATATTATCATGTCACTTGATATATCTCCATCATCTATTTAAATATTCTCCTTGCTCTATCAGCATTTTAGTAAGAGATCATGCCATTCTTCATCAGTCACTCTTCTTTTTCGTTGCAGTTGGAAGTCGTAGATTAAAAGAAAATAGAAGAAGAAGAAGAATTTGTTACATGGAGGAAGGAAGAAGAGCATGTGGTGTGGTGAGCAAATGGTATAATTCATGAATGCATTGCACAAAACTTTCTACACAAAGCAAGCAGCTATTACGGACCCTTTTTAACAGCTTGTTCTATTGGGCATCTAAACTATTTTCATTTTTCTAAGAAACTTGAAGAAAATATAGGGTTGACGATGCCCATAGTTTGAATTTATCCAGAAACAGGAACTCCAGAAGTGTTCAAATATGTCATTGTTGTGCATCATAAGGGTGTACAGTGGACCAAGTATATATTGAAATTGCACTAGTCAATGATGAAACACAGTTAGCTTCACCAGAATGATGATTGATTGTATCATTATTGTATATCATTTAATGTACAACAATGACATCCGTGGGTTCACGTTAACAGATCAGACTTGACCTTGAACTGTGTGAATGTGATTTTATCAAGAGAAATATAAACAATTTAAGTACAGTAATTTCTTGTTAAATTGATTTTGACAGGTATATTGCAAAATTTTCTATAGTTGGTACAAATTGTACTGCAGGGGCCAACTTACAAAAAGGCTTCTTTAGTACAGGGGTTCTTTGCAAATAAGTTAATTTTGACTTCAACTAAAATATTTAGATTTGTTTCTCCTCATGAGAGAAATTATTTACCCGGGGGGTACCAATACCATTTTGACTTTTTTATTTTTTATTTTTTTCTTCTATTCTTCTTTACCTTTTAGCCTTCTTAATTTGCGATATGCTTAGATAATCGTGAATGAACCGTCTACATCAAATAATCTAGCACCAGTTAATGACAAGTAATTATTTCATGACCACATAGTTGGTACTTCTGTGGCACTCATATGTTTACACTTGAATTATATATATATATATATATATATATATATATATATATATATATATATGTTTGATCTAGTGATCTTTTATATATATTGTATCTCCTAAGCAAAGCATCCTCGGAAGTATTTAGGGTACAAACAAATTTTTAATTCAAGTACCAGATCTTTGGTTTAGAAGAAAAAAATAATGTTGCACATGTGTAAAGTTCAATTGTATCCTAGGGTTACATATGTTATCCTTTTATCCAAACAACCAATTGGAATTCTTATTCTTCTTGAGGAAAAAAAAAAAATCATATTCTTCATTATAATCGAAGGAATTGGAAGAAGTCTATTGTTTTGACTTTTTGTGCTTTTAGGGCAAAGTGTTACTATATTTCAGATGCGTTGAAGACACTCCACAATGCCATCTAGGCCAAACACAGATGGCCTTCTGTATAGAGTTTTTTTTTTTTACACCGGCAAACATTGAACATTTTATAAAAATATAAAAACAATACAAGGGTCAGCCCTTGCTAAGATAAGGCGGTGGACCAGACCACATTTTGATCCAAAAATACAAGCACCCTGAGCAAACGCTCCACATAACAAGAAACCCATATTGGTGCACCCTAAGGATGAAGATTCTAAACGGGTCCACTTTAAAATGATGCATAAGACCACCCATTGAGCTCAGGCTGAGGCAAATAGGAGCAATAACAAAGTCGCCCGATATATACATATAGCCCAATTAAGAAACAGAATCATTAACAGGGCTATGACCTAAAGCCCAGCTAGGCAAACCCATGTGAGATGGGGCCCTATCACAAGAACCAGAAACTTCCCCCAGACCCACCTTTGCACACCCAGCTTTCTCCATACGCCAAAATACCAACGTCATCATGACGTCATAGGATGCCACCATCACCGAGATATGCCACAACCGAAGGTCACCGTGAAGTCGATACTCCGTTTCCAACGACCAAGATGTTAACAGGTAGTAAATGTCCAACAAAGGGACTTGTCGATTTAATTCATGGCCATAAGAAAGCCATTGATGATCATGTGATACCTTGAAGGAGTGATTCCAATTGCTACCAGTAGCAAAAGCACCATGGTCATGAAAATACATAACAGATGCCGGTAAACTCCAGATCTGATGAAGCATAAACATTGCCCTCGCAAGCTTGATGAAATTCGCAGTCCATATTTGCTCAAAAAGGCTTTGATAATTAGAGGGGAAACGTCGACTATACCAAGACGAAAAAGGTGAAGACAGCCTCTGCAATCCTTCAATCACAGAATCAACAATCTCCCTAGAAAAACATCGCCGAGTATGGTGACAATCGAAAAGCCCAGTCACCCAAAATAGGCCTTCCCACCCATGGAAAAAGGAAAAGAAAGGCCAGCATACGACCCTAAAAGCAACACAAACCAAGAAACAAATTACAGTGGGTATTAAAACAAAAGAAAGAGACACAATACCCGGATTAAAAGGGAAGAGCCATTGCGCGGAATCTCTAATTTGAAGCCCCACAACTCCCTTGAGCCCTTCCGGCCGAATAAACCAGATGAGCGACGGAGAGGATAATGACTGTAACACCCCCACATTTTCCATGCATAAGTTGATCAGGCTTATACACGAAAAACGAGGGATATCAAAAACAATTGGCAATATACAAGCATGGAATACAAAATGATGATAATAAAAGAATTTAGACAAGAAATGAACACTAAATAATACAACATCCATCCATCCTTTATTTAATACAGTACTTCATTACAACTTGGAAATCCTATGTCAAGGATCCCTAAATATAACCCTGAGAGTTCAACGTCAAAAGTAAATAAAAACTGAAACTGAAGTAATACATAAAACTTCTACCCTGAACTGGATCGTAAGAGTAGATGAGTTCGGATGGTGGTCCCACACTGCTAACCTCAACCTTGGAACGGGTACTGACCGTATCCTGAAATAACAACAATGGTGGGTCAACCCCACGAGCAAGTCCTCTCTACTATGACCCAAATCAGAGAATCAAATAAATTAATCATTATGAATCGGATGAGTACTATATCTGTATACATCCTAAGGGAACTATCCAATGTATAACATGACCTCAACCAGAATAGACGGTGATCACTTAGACTCACACTAGGTGGTTAAGTGTCGCCTTTCCCCACCCGGGAAATCAGTTATTATACATGGTGCACGGTACTGACAACACAGACTATAACGAACTACACAGTGATAACATCTCGCGAAGTACTGATGAATATACTGAGCATATAAGTTAGGCAACACATGCCAACAATATTAATAAATATACCGAGTATGTCAATTAGGCAACACATGCCAATAATATTAAACCACATACCCCGACAGCCACACATCTGTCTATAGCAACGAATGCATAAGGTATAAATGAGTCTAAACTTATTAGCCAGCTCACATGGTTCTATATGGCAACTCATCCATATAATATAAATGTGTCATAATTAAACAGTCCATTTATTTCCTGAAATGCACACAGCATAATAATCATGGTTTATATACGATTAACAGTATAAATATTCCATAATATATAATGGGTTATTTATATGAATACAACCAAGCACTAATTAATTTAACATTAATGGTTATTACAGTTTGATAAAATAATACCATTAATAGCCATTAAATTAATCACATATGTTTACTAGCGATTCGCACTTTAACTAATACAATTAATATTTAGAAATATTAATTGGACAATTATAATAGTTAACGAGAAATAAAATAATAATATAATGTCCCGTTAATTCTAAAAATGCCAACCTGAGGCCCCAAAATGTATAGTGAAGGTCCTGGTAATGACAAAACAGTCCCTAGGGGTATTCTGGACTTTTCCAGCAGCTGCAGAGGCCCTTCACGCGCCCCCACGCGCCTCCCAGAGCTCCCCACACGCGCCGCCAAGCTTTCCCACTCTCCCACGCGCCTCCACGCGCGTCTGGCATCAGCCACGCGCGCACACGCGCTCCCACGCGCGTCTGGAGAGTTCCACACGCGCGCACGCGCTGCCACGCGCGCACTAATGGTACCTTGCTGACGCGGCGGCTCCTGATTCGGTGGTTGCATCATCCTACTATGGGTGCGCTACACTGAATCATCTCACCCTCTTATCACTCAATCCTATGCTCATGGATCCGGGTGTACCGCGGTAACATGGACCGCGATGCACCGGATCAATCAGCTTCATCTAAGGCCCAGGATGCGCACGCACACCCTCCTATGGTGCGCCGCGTCACACCGGATCACTCCGGTCATCTCCCCCATTGCCGGCGACCGGAAAACTCGCCGGAAGGTCGCCGGAAATTGCAGAAAATGCCCGGAAAAATCTAGAAAATTCTAGAAAAATCCCTAAAGCCTCATTTAATTATTTTCGGCCATTATTAATTTCATAGGACATTAAATAAATATATACCATCCTATATAATTAAAATTCATTAATTTAATAAACTAAAAAAAATCATTTATTAAAATCTAATCATGTTCTCAATGCTCCATCATAATCTAAATAATTTAAACAATTAATTTATGGATTCAAAGGGGAAAAATAGATAATAACTTGCCTTTTTGGATTTAAAATAAATCCGCCGGTTGCGCGTAGTCGGGTAAATTCCCTACACCGGTCCAAGCTCCTTTCTTTCTTTCTCTTCCTTTCCACACTCTTACAATGGCTCACTAGAATTTATAATTTGTTTCTAACTCCCTTTCTTTCCTTCTAAGGTAGGCTAGCTAATTTATATACAAATTATATAATATAAATATTACAAATATCTATTTTTGTATTTAATTAACCACCTTCCCAACCATATGGCTTCAATTCCACCCATAAACATTGATGAAATCCTATCCTAATCTCTAACTTCATCATGACATTGGTTTAATACTATTATTATTATTATAACTATTATTATTATTATTGCTAATATTATTATTAATAAACTTTTATAATTATTATTATTATATTATTATTATTATTATATTATTAAACTATTATTATTATTATTATTATTATTATTACATAATAATACATTATAACATCATAATACTTTATAACACAAATATAATACTTTAATTAACTAATAATGATTAATATAAGCATAACCAACAAATAAAATTAATTATAATAATACATGCACAATTAAATGAATAAATTTACTATTTTAACATACACAATTAATTTACATGCACCATTAAATGAACTTAATATAACAATGTAACATGCACATTAATAGGTAAAGGAATCCACACATAATTGAATTTAAATAAACTAAACTCTTTAATTAATTACGGGGTATTACAATGACAGACACAATACCCGGATCAGGATGGGTCAGGCTCATAGACATAAAGTAATTGACGAGTTTCCTACGCCCAACTCGTTGCCATCTATAAATGAATTTTCATAGTTAATAATGTTCTTTGTGACATTCAAGTGATTATTATTATTATTATTATTTGCATAATGAAAATAATTTTGCTCGTCGCAAGTACAAGTATTGTTATAAGCCACAACCTGGTCCCTCTCCTTTGTTGTTTTCATTATGTATATCATGTGTCTTCATATTGGTAACGCAACAACTTTACATCGATT